CTCTCTCTCTCTCTCTCTCTGTCTCTCTCTCTGTCTCTCTGTCTCTCTGTCTCTCTCTCTCACACACACACATACACACACACACAAACGCACACACACACGGTTACCAGAGCAACAGCAGTAGTCACAAAGGCACTAGCTTTCCAGTGGCTTCTGGACTTGCTGGATGCTGAGAAACACAACTTGGAAATGCAACAGAATTCATACTAGAATAAACTTGGATCAGCAGGAACTGGATCCTAGGACTTGCTGGCATTTAAATGTCTCCCTCTCACCTTTATGGATAGCACCGAGAAGTGGTACCACTGGATCTCTCTGGAAGATCTTATGGGTGGCAGAGCCTTCTTTGTGCTTACCTGTGATATTGAGGCCCTTGCTTCCCTTCCTTTCCTGCTTCAACCTTGACCCTCACTCTTGCCAACCTGAGACTGCATCTCCTTAGTATAAAAACTTTGCCCTGGGCTCTGTATTCTAGGTACATAAGTCAAAATAGAGCTCTAGGCTGCAATTAATCCAGAGAACTTCTTTCTCAAGTATGAACACTCGAGGGTATTGCTGGTTAAAATTGAGGCAAAGGTACTCATGGCATGAGTATCTGCCAAAAATTTTATAATAGGAAACTTTACATCAGACAAATAGTCAGGCCAAGTAACCGCTAAGAACCTTTCAATTCTAAGCTTCTATTTCTGTGAGACGTTGTACAGAAATTTTCTAGAATTTTTCTAATTGCCCAGCATATCTGAGTAAGATTGGCATGAAATATCCTCAAAGAATATTATTCCTCACAGAAGGTGTCCTGGGAAAATAGCTTTTTATGATGGTGGAGAAAGTTTTACTGGAAACCCCAATTTAATCTATATGAGAAAGCACTGGACTCTACAAAAGAAAATCATGAAAAATACAAGAGAAATTTATGCCCTAAAGCTGCACATGTTCTCTTTGCATGTGATTATGGGTTAAGCCATTATCACATACACTTAGACCAATTATGGGTTGTTTCTCTTGTTATTCATTTCTGGCCAACTTCCAAAGTGAATGGTCGTATTTTGAGTACATAAAGTCCCGGGCATAAATTTACATTTCCACTTCAATTTCTATATCAGCTCTGGATTCTTCTCAGTGATGCTTTAACATTAACAATGGAGAGGGAACTTTGAGAAGAGGAAGCTACTGAAATCTGGAAGTAGGATTTTCTTGGGCAAAAAGTGGTGGCAACCAGAACTTTGAGATGCTAGTAATGTGTGTAATAATATTCTTTCTTTCCACAGGGTGGGGACTGTGGGGAAGGAGTCCAGGTACGCAGCCTTTCTTGCGTGGTGCACGGTGGTTCACTGTCCCACACAGCTGTCCGTGTGGAAGATGCATTGTGTGGAGAGATACCCTTTCCAGCCAGCGTCTTGAAGCAGCTCTGCTCTGTGCCTTGCCCAGGTATGCAAGGAGTTCTTCCCCTGGTAATTTCATTGTATTTTTTTGTTTTTATTTCTGGAGAAACTCTCATTTGACAAAATTAGAGATTTAATTAACTTTAATTAACTTTGAATTGTGGTTACAGTTAGCATTTTGGAATGTACTGCTGCTTTGATGGAGGTAAAATATGTAAAAGGGAAAAGAACGCTGGATTTGGAAATTTATGTTGGAATCTTGTCTCTGTTGCTTTACTGGCCCCTTCAAGCTATGGTGTCTTCGTCTAGATGACTGGCTGAGCCAACAGCATGTAGCATATTGGCCATTGCTCAGAGAATTTAAACAAAATCTACAAGTGGATAAATCTTGGGGGATGCCATGGTGGGAACCAGTAATGCTATGATTTGTAAAACCACGCTGAAAACATTTAAGTTCTATGTAAATGTGAGCATTATTACTAGTTGCATAAAATATGAATTCATTTTAATCCCAGTAACACAGTTTAGCTTGTATAGAATTCATTTAAAATGACTTAATACATTCTTAGTATACAATATGTATGTGCATACACACATGTACATTATATGTAATATAAACACACATTCAGTATATACACAAAAGTGTGTATATAAGTGCATATAAAATTTTCATATAAAGGTTTATATGTATAAATTATATATAATATAGTCTGAAAATACATGTGTGTATATATTTAGAGTATTTCATTAAATATTCTTTTAGCCAAGTGATATTTTATTTTGGTACCTACTTACATTTTATATGGTTTCTGTAAATACCCATTTTACAGTATGCCAGTCTTTGAAAACTTACTACCATCTTTACCATATCCCTTTTAAAAATTTTATCATCACTAGCAGACACATAGTATCCTCTAGCTGTGACTGCTATGATTTGAAGCAAAGTAATGACAGTCTATTTTTTGATATGCTCTTGTCAAACTAAACTATGACTTTCTCATTCTCAGTACTTTCTAATCAGAAGATTGGTCAAAGTAGAACATGCAGTATCTGGAACCCAGCACCTTACTGCACATTCTACCACAAGCCTCTGCGTGTACCTTGTCCGTGCAAATACAGTTCAGTTCCAGTTTTCATGGTCTTCTCCCTGCCCTGTACTGTTTCCTGCCAGGAGACTGCCATTTAACTGCATGGTCAGAGTGGAGTGCGTGTGAATTGACCTGCATTGATGGAAGAAGCTTCGAGACTACCGGTCGTCAATCTAGGTCAAGAACATTTATAATTCAGTCTTTTGAGAACCGAGACAGCTGCCCACAACAAGTTCTAGAAACACGCCCTTGTACAGGTATCAGGAGCCCTTTTCAGTTGTTTAGCCTTGATTGTTCAGTGCTTATTCTAAGTGAGGTTTAGCAGAACTGTTCATGTTATATTTACTTTCAGGAGGCAAATGTTATCAGTACATATGGAAAGCAAGCCTTTGGAACAATAATGAACGAACTGTCTGGTGCCAGCGTTCAGATGGCATTAATGTCACAGGTATTCCTTCCTAACACTCTTGTGGGCACTCGAAGAATATCTCAGAGTGTGGTGTTTGTGTGAAATATTAGTAATGAAAAACCAGGCAAGTGATTTAGATGATCCTCGTGGCAAAGTTCCTTAACCCCCTCTGTCTTTTAGAGAGTAGACATTTCTATTTGAAGATCCATGAACTATCATTTAATTTAAAGAAATGAGTTGAAACATAATAAAATTCCTTAAATTTCATGATGTAAGATAAAAAGTGAAAGTGATAGAGGTTAGTTTCAGACAATGTTCTTAAAGATTGAAATCATACTCTAAAAAATTTACAAGATCTGTTTTAACATATTTTTCTATTCTTCTGTGCTATGATATCATATTGCAAATATACTCAAACTGAAATAAAAGTTAAAAATTTAAATTAAAATATATTAAATTAAAAAAAATTTCTATAAGCCATAGATGGTTGTATTTAGCCATGGGAAGCTTGATTTTAAATATTTTGCTGATTAGGCTACTTAATATCTAAAAATACACTAAAGGAAAGGTTCCTCATTCATAACAGTAGATGCAGTGTGATGGTACAAATAGATTTCATAGTAATTTCAAGGGGTTTTGTTTTGCTTTGTTTTGCTTTGTTTTGTTTTGTTTTTGAGGTAGAATCTCACTACGTAGTTCAGGCTGACCTCAACTCACAGTGCAGCCTAGGCTAGCCTCAAACTCACGGATCCTCCTGCTCAGCCCACCAAACACTAGGATTACAGGTGTTCATTGCTATGCGCAGTTTAAGGTTTTATTTTTTTTTAAGCTTTTTTATCAGAGAAAATTTAACTGATATTTACTTTACTGGACCCTCCAGCTGACAGCTTGTGCAAAGGCTGGGATAAGTGTCTGTGAAACACAAAAATTGTCAACACCTCCTTTTCTTGTTTACATGTCCTTGCATTACTGGTATTCCTTTTAATCCTTACTTTATATAGTACTTTCTTTTGAAGTACTTTTTGGTTTATAAATTGTTAAAATTTATTCTACTATGATTCTACCTAAGCAGACGCATAAAGCATCATGCTATGTAATGTGCTATATGTCCACACTGGTGAGGATTATGCTGTGATATCTTCACATGGTGGTCCTACTGTATCCAGCTGGTGAATAATCCCAGGTTACCTGTATCATCTGCTAAATATCACTGAAACTTAATTTTATTCTGAAAATTTAAAAACAGGTCTCATTTTATGCAAATTACAATAATTTCTTCCCATCCCAAGAAATCTTCTGGGGTAATCTGTTTAGGAGAATGCTAGTTCAAAAGATGAAAACCCACTCCCTAAACACAGTTGTAGCAACAAGCTGTGTAGTTATTGCTAATAACATTCAAACAATTAGTATCATACTCACTTGCTATTTCTGGATTGTATGTTCTTATTAAAAATGCTTTTTAAAGTATTTTTTGGCAGGGATTATTTATTTTATTTTTCAAGTAAAAGAATTTAGCTGCTTCATTCCTAGGAAAAATATAGGCCTGACTATTTTGTTTACCATCTTGTATCCAAAAATCTTTTGCTACCTACAAAATGAAAAATTGTAATTGGATGACAGTTATAGTAATACAAAGGCTAAAACCTATAACTGCTATTTAAATTCAGTGTAAATACTATCATTAAGTAATAAATTGACTTCTTAGTGTAATTATCTTTCAGCTTTTTTCCATAACTTTTTTACTGCTATGAATCCAAGAAGGCAAAAGTAATATGTAGATGATTTTCAGAAGAGATATATATCATCTCATCCATTTTCTCAAAAGTATTTATAGACCACCCACAAATATTCTATCTAATGTTTCCTCCCAAACTTCATGCATTTACTTTTAAAAATGTGTGCAGGGATCTGTATGTGACTATATGTGTACCCTGTGGATGGTTCACATGTTAAAATGTTACCCAAGTGGGCACTGCAGTGACCCCATGAAGTAATTAGCAGCATTCTTTTAGCATTTTGTCATTGTAATCAGCCTAATATCTAGCTGGGTTGAGCTAGAGAAAATATACATAGAGTGACTCCTTTGAGCAAATGTGCCTCTCTGCTCCTTAACTTAAACTGAGATTTTTTATCAATTCTCCTGTTGATCCTGGCAGCCGTAGGATTTGTCCTGCAGCGTAGCCATATGATAGAATCACACTGCCCAAACCATGGGGGGAAATGCACCAAAAACAATGTCTGCTGGAAGAGCCTCCCCTTTTGAACTTGCATACTGAAGCATAAAGGTAATTAGACTAAGAAGTCAAGAAGATAAGACTAGACAACATGTTGACATGGATTGAAAATAACACTAATATTATAACAAAATGTCCAGTGTCAGAGGGGAAAAATGCCCAAATGTAAGAAGTATGTACCAGAGAGCAATCTGAATATGATGGCGGGATTTCTTTTGTAGGAGGCTGCTCCCCTCAGGCCCGCCCTGCTGCTATTCGGCAGTGTATTCCAGCCTGCAGAAAACCTTTCTCCTACTGCACACAGGTGAGTCACACTGTGATCCTCCACAGGTACTGTGGGTGCTGTGTCACACATAAGCAATCAAGTGTTCTCTGGTCTGCTGTAGCTCACGCAGCAGTTCTGTGTGCTCACGGTACCATCTAGAGGCACTTGCTGGACTAATCGCAGGTATTAATTTCTGTGATGTGCCGTGTACTTAGGAAAGCAGTCTTTTTTTATAAATCTGTTTGTAAGTAACTTGCCCTTTAAATAGCAAATTTACATTAGTTCTATCTACCTATACCTCTTCTCAATTTCTTCATGTGCTCGCTTCTTAGCCTTTAGTATGCTTAGACAATTATGAAAGACCTAATGCTATTCGTATTTGATAAAATTGTTTCATAAAGTTTATTACAGTGTGAATTATAGTAAGAGTAAATTTTTATTTCATTTTAATCTGAGTATATGAGTAAGGTTGAGAATATATGTGTGCATATGTGTGTTTATATAAGCAAAACTTTTTCCATTCTCCTATAACTTCCATCTATAGCATCTCAGGAATTAGTACAATGTGTATAATACATTTTGATCAATGGCACTTATAGTGTGGTGTACATACATAATTTTAAAAAGTTATATTACAGTTCTTTAAGAAACAGGTTTCTTCTTATTGTGGCTTATTTCAAAAATACTTCCATTAAAAATAATTCAAACACCTAATCCTACTTTAATGGCTCTTCTACTTCAAGATGGGTTAATTCTTTAAGATACGTTAATTCTTTACCACAGAAAAAGCAGTGAGTAAGCTTGCAGAGGAAAATAAAAGAAAAAAGATGAGTAACAAGTTCATTTGGGCTGAGGCTGTTTGTAAATATGAGATGTGATCAAATTATACAGTATATATAAAGAAAAAGAAATTTATTACAATAAAAGAAACATTGCCATTGTTGTCCTTCAGAATACTCTTTCCCACTTCAAACACACATCTCATTGTTCTTGCAACTTTCTGAAGCAATTCTGGAAGACCTCTTCCAAGAGTCTCTTTATGATATATAATTAAAAAAGCTATACCAGGGGCTGGGGATTTAGCTCAGCGGCAAAAGCGCCTGCCTGGCAAGCGCAAGGTCGTGAGTTCGGTTCCCGGTACCGGAGAAAACCCCCCCCCCCCAAAAAAAAAAAAAAAGCTATAGCAAATGCTGCCACTTAGAATCATGCAATGGAAAGGCGGCCTTGTAAAAACATTATGGTATGTCCTCATCTATCTTAATGACTAGGTCTGGCACTGTGCAACTTCTGGTTGTTCCCCAAAGTGAAAATGATTGTGAAAAGTAAACATTTTAATCAATTCAGCACACTGAGTCAGCCAGGACAACACAACTAAAGACACTCCCAGAAGACTTCCAGAACTATTTCAAAAATGGAAAAAATGATGGATTAAATGTGTTTGAAGTGCGCCTGGTGGCGAACGCCTGTAATCCCAGCACTAGGAGGCTGAGGCAGGAGGATTGCTGTGAGCTCAAGGCCAGCCTGAACTGCATACTGAGACTCTGTCCCAAAAGATAAAAAAGAGTATGTTCAAAGTCGGAGGGGATATTTTAAGGGGATAAATGGCAGTGTATCTTTTGCTATAATAAATTTTAGAAAATTAAATGTGCTTCTTATTTTTTAATCACACCTAAGAGAAATTTTATTGGTCAACTTTTCTATTGCTAGAACACAACACTTACAAGCACAATTTAAAATAGGATAGTTTAAATAAAGTTCAAAGTGTTAAGTGATTCTGTCCATATTTAGCTGGCTCTAAGGCAGAAATATCATGGTGCAAGATTCAGGACAAAGCTGCTTAGTTCATGGCAGCTGGAAGGCAGAGCAGGGGAGCAGTTCTGCAGAGGAGCGGGTGAGAGAACAAAGAGCTAGGGCTGTAGATCAGTCAGAAAGACCTGAGTTTAGTCCCCAGTATTGCAAAAATTACAATAAATTATATCATTGTAAGGTACAATGGCACAGGGCATGTAGTCCCATTCCAAAAAAGGAGAAATAAGGGAAAAGGAAAAAGAAAAATTTCAGAGTGAAACCAAGCAAGGCAATGTCGTATATCTCCAAATCCTGTACTCAGGGTAGACTGTGGTAAAATGTGAGTTTCAAAAAGATTGGGCAGCCTTAACACTATGGTCTTGCTAGCTGCAAAACCCATAGCATCTCCCTTAGGATAGCTCTGCTTATGACCTGCAGCTTTCCTTGGCAGATGTTCCACGTTCCTAACATCTTTGACTTCCTTTGCTCTCCAATGCACCAGAGCTTCACTCCCACAGCTTCACACATGCTACCTGCTCAGGGGCTCCTCGCCTGGCCTCCTACGGCTTCCTGTGAAAACTATGTGAAGGCCTCCCTGATCTCACAAGCCTTGTGCTCTATCCCAGCAAAGCCAGCCTTTCAGAGATAATGCCACCTTCTACTGTTGGTGGAACAGTCACCAGGATATGTTCGACTATGTTTGCAGTGGCCACTAAGTCTTCGGATATCTGAGCAGAGTGAAATAAATCTTGGCTAACCAATTCCCTAGAAGACCCTTCTCAAGCAGTGGTCACAAGGAATCTTTTCTCAGATGAAAGGCTGACCCTTCGGTACCTGTGAACCTGTGGTGTCTGGGGTCTTGCTGAGTTTTGAGATGACCTCAGACATCTTTTTACCTATCCCTGTACAAAGTACTTCATTTACTTTTTTGATATCCACAACTACTTTCCCCCAACCAACACATGGTTGGTTCCTTCTCAGCTAAAATTTAAATTGTGAAAACTTTTCTGCTATATTTTATCCCCTCAATTCCCATAAGAAATCTAGCTAAATGCAGCCAGAAGTACCCATGATACAACCCGAATATTAGGCTGTTTGAAATTTTCTCGGCCAAATGAATTATTCCATCACCCTTGATCTCAGTCTCCTGCAAAATCTTAGAACACTTACACATTTTTTGCCAGAGTAGAATACACATGGCCTCTAGTGAAATTTCCAGGGAGGTCCTTATTCTCAACTAAAACTTCATTAGTCTGGCCTTTATTGTCTTAATTCCTATCAGCATGCAGGTCTCTGAGCTCTAAAAACAATCATCAAGCCCTCCTTATAGTATTTTAAGGCTCCCTAGCTTGAATCTCTGAATCTTTCCAAATTCCTTCTGAAAGTCAAGACCGATGTCTTCTGAACCACATGGTCAGATACAGTTTTAGCAACAACCCTTTCTCCAGTACCAGTTGTTTGTATCTGTCAGCTTTTCTATTACTGGGACACAATACAGTCCCAGTAGTAAATTGGTAGCCACAATTTAACAGAGGAGAGGTTTAATATAGTTTATGGTTTTAGGGGATTCATTCCATGGTTGGCAGACTACAGGGCAGAAACATCATGATGGAAAGGGTGTGGCAGAACAAAGCTACTTACTTCGTGGTGGCTGGAAGGCAGAGCAGGGGAATGGTGCCGGAGTGTCATAAGTGAGGAACAAGACATAAATGCCAAGACCCGCCTCCATGACCCACTTAGACATACATCAAAATATGTTCTACGAAGCCCCTGTGTGGATCCAAAAGCCAATCAAGTTAACACTGTACCTTTATTACCATCTAATTGTACCTATTCACCAACTTTCTGGATACTTTCTTTAGTACAATATAAAATACACTTTTCCTTGAACCCTTCACACATGTGACTCACTGATTATAATTTTTCTCTCAAAGTAGTAAGAGTGATGCATCATGAAAAGATGGCTTTGAAACTAAACCTATACAACTATTCTTAACTAGATCTCTCTATTGACTACTATATTTTCAATTAAAACTAATTGAAAGTACCATGTATTCATCATAACATGATTGCAATCTGAATTAAACTATGAGGAGTTCATTATAACATTGGCATTTTTGACCTTTTGGTTTTGTAAAAGACCAAGGTATCTTATTTTACTATTTTTAGTTTTTTTTACTATTGCTTCTGAAAATCATGTGTTTAGTCAAAAATTGGTGATCTAAATGAAGCTGAATGAGCAGAACTAGCTTGAGTGGCTAAGTAAGGCAAGGGTTTGTGCAGATAATGCTATCCAAGTAGTTTTAGGTAAGGGACCTCATTAACAAAGACAGATTCTTACCCCATTAAGTTGTTTTCTATTCTTCTTTATTGTCTGTTCACTGGAGGAAGAACAGTTATGTTTAGATCGCCTTCCAAAGACATATAGGAACACAGCTCTATTACATTTCATCAAAGCTTCTCAGTAATATGCATTATACATGAACATGACTAGGAATTTCACTTACAGATTTAAAGTACATAATGCCACAACTCCAACTGGGGATGTGATATGGTGTGATACTGAAGTTACTAGGCGAAAGAATAATTTAGATAGATATATGACATCCTTTTCTTGAACATTTGCCTTTGATCAAGTTCTTTTCCTCCGTTTCAGTTGCTTTCCCATGAGTGGAGAGGTAGTTGGAGTAGTGGTCAGTGGTGGAAAGTGATAGAGGCATTGACTAGTGGTCAGTGGTAAAGGTAATAGAGGCTGGTGTGGTGATACCACACATTATAAAACCTCACAATTTATATATGCTAGCCTTGGAATTCTGAAGGATGAACTGTGCAGTTCATTTTAATCTTGTGAGTAAATCAGTTGCTGAAAACTTTAAATTTCTATGACATATTGTGTGACTATTAAGTGACTTAAACATTTAAGTTGTTCTTCATCTGCACAATTCCCTGTGTATTTTCTTATGCTGCAGGGTGGAGTCTGTGGTTGTGAGAAAGGCTACACAGAGATAATGAGATCAAATGGCTTCCTGGATTACTGTATGAAAGTTCCAGGCTCAGAGGACAAAAAAGCTGATGTGAAAAACCTTTCTGGGAAAAACAGACCTGTGAATTCAAAAATACGTGATATTTTTAAAGGATGGTCTCTTCAACTACTCGATCCAGGTGTGTTTCAGCTATGAATGATATGTAAATTTTCTCATAGGCAGTTCATATTTGGATCATTGCTCCTTTCGGAAAGAATAGAGGAAACAAAGAAAAGAGAAGGAAGAGTGAACACAATTTAGGTTAAAATTTCTTAAATTTGAGCATTTTTATAATGCATAATTCCCCTTTAAATATAAAAATATTTTCATGGATAGTTGAACATTGGGTCTGCCCATCATAGTCTGAGAGGCAGTGAGTTAAGTAGCAAGATAGGATCCTCTGTGCATCCCCCTTAATTACAATTACTATCTCTGCTTTTATAACTGGATTTGTATAACTGAAATTAAAACAAAAATGTTGCAGTGGAATCTCAGAAACTGGCAGGAAATACCTAGAGACCTTAACATGTTTAGAAAGCACTGGGGAAATTGTGAAGTGCACCAATTACAGAGGCAGATGGACTTTACAGGCATCTATGGCTTAAACATACCAGTTAGGTGATGAGGTATAATTCCTTATCTTCTGTGGACCTCAGTTTTCTGATCTAAACAATCTGTCCAGTGGTACCTGCCCTGCCCAAGTACTGATACTGTGTGCCCCATGGTTTTGTGCTGACTAGCTTTCCTGTCTGAATCATCTCATTATATTCTTGCCTCCTAATGAAATGTTATCATGCTCATTTGAGAGATTAGGAAACTTAAACTGACAGTGCAACATAATTTTCACCAAGCAACACAGGAAGGTTTAAAGAAGACCATCAAGGTCCTTATACCACTTTGTGAAGTGACAGAAGGAAAAAGTAAAAGACTGTGCCTGTAATACATACCTGTTTTATGAAGCATCATGTTATAAATGACTGAGCAAGGTGACATTACTGAGAGTGCTTGGGAGGCAAGAGAAAAACAAGGCTTAGGAATAACAGCCTCGGAACTTTCCTTCCAGATCCGTACCAGAAGTGTCCATATCAGAAGTGTGTTGATGACATGTGTTTAAAAAAAGCAGATGCCAGAACCCAGGTGCAAGGAACTCTAGGTCTAGTTAGAGGAATAAGCTTTGCACTCATTATGTAACTTATTCAACTTTTCCTATATGCCTTGGAATGCCAAAGGTATTTAAAAACATCTCATTAGTTTTATAATTAAAATAGCAGTAGATTTAAATTTGAAGGTAAATTATATGAAATGTAGACAGCTTCACTTTTTGCCTGTAGAATCTATTTCAAGCAAATAATTAGAAATGAAATCCTGGGGAAGTAAGTCTTCAGGTCCACAGATGAAGTCTTCAGTCTTTAATTCATGGATATACTTTGGGAATATAACTAAAGCATCAGTAATATTAGATGTGTGAGTACATATGTGTTTGCACAGATACACACAAAAGTGTATGTATATGTACATAGACATATATACATCTATTAGCCTGGGGCTTTAACTTTTTTGTAGTTTTAAATTGTCTTTTGAGGTAGTTTTTTTCTTTATTTTAAAGAAAATAGTACAAAAAAAGAGCAATAGCAAAGTACAAACAAAACAAAGCAAGGACATTAAAAATGATACAGGGTTTCAAAAAAATGATAGGGATTACCAGTGGTTGCTACATTACATACTGTTATTAGCTTTCTGCAATGAGAAGATAAATTGGAGCAACCTCTCAGAAATTCATTTGGGCTATTCTAGTATATTTACCTCTCATATGTTTGTATCTAAAATTTTTTCCTATGAATTCATTCTATAGATATATACATATATTCCAAAAGAAGTATGTTAATGATATCAATAGTATGATTGCTTGTAGAAAATGAGTAGGAATGACCTAAATGATCTTAAATGTAATTAAGTAAGAACAAAAATGTGGTACAAGTGTGCACTGGTATCTCATAGTAAAATGAAGTAGACCTGTTCTCATGAACTAGCATGGAAAATTGATCCATCCTGTAGTTGTTAATAGAAGAAAAGTCACAAATCAAAATGAATGATGTGTACCAGTTGTGGTTTTTAAAGAAGGGGTATGTATCTGCAAGTGTGCATGTGAGTGTTTTGTGCACACTCAATTGTATATGGAGATCAAACTGGAAAGATTCGTAAAGAAATGAGAATGGTGCTAGATTCCAGGTAAAGAACTGAGACAGTGTAGCAGAAAGATATATTTCTCTACATATATATTTTGTTGTGTGAAGTTTTAGTTTATTATGTTATTTTAAGTTAGTTAATTTATTATATGTTTTAAAATAACTTGGCTTAAAGGTCCTGAACCTTAGTGTCCATCTTTATTTAAAAGCGCTAGACCATCCCAATACATCAGCTCTGTGAGATTTTATGGGTAGGAAGAGAGAAACATTATCACTCAAGGAAGACTATTAATTCAAGTAACTAGTTAGTTATTATTGCCAAAGTAAAAGCTCAGGACAGAGAATTTCATCGTGAGTGGTTCAAAGAGATCAGAATCAAAGCTTTGTTAAAACTTTTATGACCACAGAACAGAATTCTTGCTACAGTGAACTCGTTCTAAAATGGGACTGAGGTTTGAAAGTGTCAAGTAAGCAAAACTATAATAGGTAGTTATAATCGCAAGTAATTTTGGTGTGATTCAAAACAAGTGTGTTTGCAACAGATTTTGATTGTTTTTCATTGCATGGAATCTTTTAGAGTAAGGTGCTGATATATATATTTTGGGTCTGAATTAATTGCACTCATGTAGTGAAATGAATTTCTGGGTATATTTCTTCTGTAAAGGAACGTCAGTTCTTTGAGATGCTAACAATTGCCTTTGTTAGTCCAAGTGTGAGTTTGGTTTAGCTATATAGTTAACATCAAGGAAAAAAAGCCATTAAATTGCTAGAAACTATTTTTTTCATCATGTATGAGAAAACCATATGCTTAATGGAGCTATATTTTACATAGAAGTCACAAAAGGAACCAGAATATTTGGTTTATCTGTTTTACTTATTTCTAATAGACAGTAAGTACACAGTAATGTGCCGTGGTACACATGGACATAATTTCAGAGTGTAATGGTGAAACGCTTAATTTATTTGGTCACATAGCTTTTGTTTACCTAGCTTCAGAAAGGAGAGCTATTAAAATTGGCCACCCTGTGTTTCTCTGCATGCAGGATTAAGTGATATGCCAAAGCAATGTTTAATGATAATCTTTGGTTGTTTTTTTTTCTGATGTTGTTGGAATATTTTGCAATTTGTGTGTTACATGCATAAGACCATAAGCACCTTTAGGCAAATTAAAAATAGCCTTGTAATTGATTTTATTTAGTGAGGTAGTGAATGCATTATGAAAAAAAATTTTATTAAGCTTATTGGTACCATAATACATAATGATCATGTTCATCACAGTGAATTTGTAACTGTATATGGTATATCTTGCTTGATCCATAATATAGTTGACATTTTTGTTACTGTTGTTTTACATTAGATGACTGTCACCAATGGGGATTTTCATGTATGCTTATGAATATGCCACTCTCTGAATGCAGATGGAAAATAAAACAGTTATTAAAATAAATGTTTTAGTGCCAGGCAGCTATAACTTAATGTTTTTAGTGGTTAATTTGCTAAAGATTAGTGCAAACTATTTCTGTAAAAGTCCATGAAAAGTGGTACAATGTAATAATAATTTAGGGTTTCTTTCAGAAACATAGCTTTTGATAGAGTAACTACATTCCTATGATATTCATGAGAGATGCTTGTTGATTCCTGGTCATATCTGGCAACCTACAGAGTGTGCGGAACATTGCTAACTCCCACAGTTGAGGTCTCAGCTGGCTAAAGGATGGTGGTTCATTTCAAGTCTAGAAATGAAAATCAGCTTAGGGTTATCAGACATTATGTTACGCTCTCTCTCTCTCTTTCTCTCTCAGATGTTACAGACTTTTATATCCTAAGCATGTTATGTTATCTCTATCTTAAACAGATGGCCGAGTAAAAATTTGGGTTTATGGCGTTTCAGGTGGCGGTTTTCTTATCATGATTTTCCTAGTATTTACTTCCTACCTTATTTGGTAAGTACTGATTATTAAATGTTTACGCTTTTTTTCAGTGTGTGGCCTTAGAAAGTGTGTTGCACAATGACTGACGAGTGTAACAAGACCCTTGAGGCCATAACTAGTGTTCAACAGCAGAAAGGATAGTTAGTTGAAATGAGGAATTATTTTCCTTATTGTTCATATTTGAAATTGCATCCATTTACTTAGTTTTTAAGTAATAGCAGAGAGAAAGACAAATCATTAGTTAGGGCTTTCCCATTTTTGTTTAGCTCCAACCTCAATACATATTAATATTCTACTGAAACTGATGCTGAGTCCTATGTTCAGATATTCTCATTTATATACTTTTGGGTGTGGCCAGATGATCTGCATGTGTTAAAGCTTCCAGGGTAATTATAAGCTGCCTGCAAAGATTACAGCACACTAGGTAATCTTAGACCTTAAATTTCATTTTTAATCTGCCCTATTTTGACCACTTAAGTTAAGCTAACCAGTTGATTTAAGCCACCCTTGCTTGCTAGCTAGCTAACTAGCGGACTGGGGATTGAAACCAGAGCCTTCTCACTGATCTATAACCCAAGGCAATTTTTTTTTTTTTATTTTGAGGAAGGGTCTCACTGAGTCACTATGTTGCCCAGGCTGAGCTCGGATTTGTAGCCCTTCTGCTTTAGCCTCGTATAGTGCTGGGAGTGCAGTGGTCAGCCTAGCTGCTTTAAAGAGTGCTGAGATTACAGCCCGTCACAAGGCCTGGCTCTGTTCACGCACTTTAAATAGTAGAACCAGGTGTTTATCCACACTGATTGACCAGCCGTGGTTGAAAATTTAATTGAGTGTCAATTCCAGGAACCCTATTTTCTAAGCAATTAATTCCTAAAATTTATTATTATTCATTCAGGAAATGATAACTAGTTTACTGTTTAGACTATATTTTAGTTAATAAGCAATTCTTGAAATCAGGCAGAAGTAAATAAATCTACATGTTGTCCAGGCTGTTAGGAATATTTTACTAATAATATCATAATCATTTATTCCAAAGTATAATTTTCAAGAACTGTTTTATTTTCATGAGGTCAAAGTATTAGTTTACTGCTTTTCTCCTACTCAATATATTTATATTCACCATGTATTTCATAGTTATTTTCTTGAGAACTTTTTATCCAAGTTTAAATCTTGATTCAAACATAGCATTTGTATATTTGGCCTCAAATTCTGTTTAGATCTTGCTGTGGTGGCACATGCCTATAATCCCAGCACTTGGGAAGCTGAGTCAGGAGGATCACCATGAGTTCAAAGCCAGCCTGGCCTACAAAGTGAGATAAAGGCCTGCAGGAACTACATAGTAAGACCTTGTCTCAAAAAACAAACACACAAACAAAAACCCCAAAAATTAAAAAAAGAAAGCAAGAACCTCTCTTTCCAAGACTGTGAAGATTTTTGGATCTTTTCCTTTGGTCCCTGAAGTTTGGTGAAGAACATTAGATTACTTTAAATCTTCCTAACACCTGTAGTGATAAAAATTGAATTCCTAGAAATTGGATTTCTATCTTGTTAACATGTCCAGAGTGTCATAGTGAAAAGTAATATTTTCAGCTAGTCCCTGGTCCTATATACAAATTATGAGGGTAAGTTACATGCTTCAATTGATAAATCTGGCAAATATTGTCTAGACCTAATCTCAGTAAACAAATTTGAATTTGAAAACTTTTTATGAGGTTCAGGATAATGGGAAATATTCACCAATAAAGAAAGTTGCAGTAAAAGACATAAAGGTGTGACAGAAAACTATTCTCAAAGCAATAGGCCATTGCAGTATTAATTAATCAGATAGTATGTTGACCTGTAAAAACTTGAGGAATTCTAGCTACTAACAGCCACACCCTCAAATCCAGTTCGATGGTTCCTTCTCTCAAATATCTAAGAGATTATCAATTAACATGTAGCCAGATATATAGCTCAGCAGAATTGTACCTGCCTAGCAAGCATGAGGTCCCAAGTTCAATTCACAGTACCAAAAAAAAAAAAGTTAACATTTAGTAACATGTAAATTTTGTCTTATTTTCCTCTTTTTCTCTGATTTAAAAATGTGTTAGCTTTAATCCATTCTTTCATTAACAAATACAGAATTTTGTAATACAGTATTTAGTAAGACCCATTTACATATAAATCTAGGCTCTGAGGCTTAATTTATTTACATCACTGATTACTGTAACAAACATAATCTTTTAGAAAATTTTTAAAATATAAAATATCAGTGGAATTTCCCATTTATTTTTCAATGACCAAATTACACAAGTAATTATGCACAGTATTTCTCATTTCTATTTTTTTCATACCTAGTGCCTGTCCTTAATAGTCTGTATTTGGGAGCTGTGGAATAGCCCCAAATATATATGTATTTATATATCCTCTCATCTTCGGTCCACATACAGATCAGTCTTTCATAAAACTTTGGCCAGGTAATTACCCCTTCCCTTGCTCATACAAAGCAGTGTTATTTTATCCCACTGACAGCAAAATCAAAGTCATGTTCTGTTGTTATAGTCTACTGATTAAGGTTTTCATAACTAGAGCCCAGACAACTCTTTCACTTTCATCTTTTACTAATTCCCCCCCCTATATGCTGTATAGGCCCACATATATTTGTATTCATTTTCATTAAGAAAAATAAAAAAACTAAAAAAAATTTTGACTTAATACATGTTCATTTAAATAAAATAATATATTTTCTACTGTAATATTTAATTAATAGGTGTAAATATAGAGCTCCAGCTATAATCCTGTATTTTATATTAATAATTCATTCTAAAATACTCAAGTTCTCTAATTCCATATTCCTGACAGTTTTCTTCTATATTCACATCTATCTTTCAAACCAGTCACTTTGTCATTCCTCTTGTCTCCCCACCTACAATCAAGTCTAGCTTTCCCTATTTACCACTCATTTTCTCCAGGTTGTTTGAGCTACAGGACTTCTTTGAACCTAGGTGTACTGCTGTTTCAGAGGCTTTATCCTCAAACCCACACAGCTATTCACATATCCTAGAAAAGATTTGTCCTCTATGTATATTTATGATCACCATCTTTTTTTAAGAAAGTGTCATATGCAACAAAAATGGCCCCTTATAAAGTTGTTTTTGAGATTGAATATAAGACCTTTTTTTGAAGGATGGGTTTTTTTTTGAATGGAATAACCTCACACTAGGACACTCAGCATACTCCTCTTCCATTTTCCTATCCCTATTGCTTTCACAGTTCAGTCTTTACATCCCGCTTATCTGCAAAGAGCTTTCCATTATGAGCTATTGGCAACCAGTTCCTCCAGTAAAATTGAAAAACTGTACTTTTCCTTATCAAACAATTTGGAATAACTTGTCCATGTCTCCTCCTCCATGGCATTTTCTTCCTGCTAATATTGTAGTTATTTGTAAAACTGTCTTAGAATTCTACTGAACTCAAAGGACTTGGTGGGTGGGGAGTCTGTAGTAACTCACTTGTTGATTTTTAATGCACAAATTTGATAAATATCTACCTGAACCCATGAAAAGATGAACAAGTGAGTAGATTAGCAGAAGCTAATATATTTTCCATGATCTTTAGTAAAAGGTCAAGAAAAAAATCTCGTATTTACGTAACAATATATTGCCTAATTCAGTCTTCATAATGATTTCATGAGATATTGCCATTTCCATCCCATTCTAAGGGGCAAGTAATTGATCCTCAGAGTAGATAGTGTTTCTTTGCTAACTGCCCTCATAAATTCACCTATAGATTTGTCCAATCCCAAAGTGATGGTGTTTTCTACTGGTGTTTTAGTCTCTGTAGTTCACTTACCTTGAGTAATACTTAAACTCCTCAGACTCAGTGTCCTGTCTATAACTTTCACCTTTTTTATAGGTCCCTTATGTCACAGGTAAAGTAAGGTGGAAACACAAGCCATTCACTACTACATATAAGCAGTCTAAAGAAATCCAAATAGATGCTTTTCTATTACCTAATTCTATTAAATAGGTATAAGAAGGTTACAGATGACAGATTTGGAGACTTTATAGTTTCCACCAAAATAAAGTCTTAGCAACGTGCAAATTCTATAATATGTCATGTTTTAAGTGTATAATTTAGAAGAAGAAAACTTACAATAAAATGTGGAGATGCTTTTGAGAAAATATAGAAAAATAGTCTTATTAAACGTGCTTTTTTTCTGAAAAAAATCTTTGAACATCTGCTATTAGTTTTTGGAGTTTTAGAAATATTCTGATGCCCTAGCTCCCCTGGGAACAAATATTAATGCAGAAATTTAGCAGCGATGACCACTAAGCAAGCTCATATTCAACCTGGACCCAGAAGTTACTCTAGATACCTACATCCATTCTGCCTTGACCAACACAGCTTGCTAACAGATTTTCCTTCCAAGTTTGAGAGTGGTGGTCCCACTTCCAGAGCTCACCTCCCACAAGTAGCTGCTAAATACAGGAGTTCATACTTTCATCAAACTATTTAATCTCTCCTGGCATATAGATGAGTCCTTGTGGCTTGAATTCAAGAGTGCCAAGGCATACCAGCAGCTTGCCTGTCAGCCTGAAAGGAATTCACTTTTCTGGCTTAGTGCATTTTTATCTTTGCTAAAATGAAAATGACACTCTAGAAGAGTTCACTTTAAAATGTGTCAGTCAGTGATCTCTTACTGCCATGATGACAAAATGGTCTTATCCTTTGTGTTACTGGTGAAAGTGGTGCTGGTTGTCAAGAGTGCTGGATTAGGAAGAGGGATGAGCCGCGCCTCCCCTCGGCAGGAGGGAGGAGTGTGAAGGAAGAGAGAGGTCAGTTGGGCTCAGGATGGTTAGTAGTGATGGTGACCTGTGTGCCAGCACTTCTGGGTCCTGATTTGGTGTGATGGAGGGAAGTGATCACATCTTTCTTGTTATAAGATTTGGGGACCAATAATTGAGGAAGAAATATATTTCTTAAGAAAAAAAATGGATTCTGGCAAAAGAGAAGGAAAGGTGGCTGTGGGCTCTAGAGGCAAGACTTCCTCTTACTGGTTTCACAAAGAGAAGTCTTACCACTCAGCTCCTTCTCTTACAGATGTCTTAACTGACCAAGAAGCTTTGTAAGCTGACAGCTGCCCAGCAAAGAGCACCATATTTAGCAGCTCATGGGTTACCATTTGAGAGGATGTTGATTTGCTTTAAACTCCGTGAAAGTTCATATTAGTATCTGTCAATTAAGAGATTACACAATATGAAAAGATCTATAATGAATAATGTCCTAATCACAATGATCCCAGCATACCCATGGCCGCAAAGGTCCCAGGCCTCTCTTCTTTCCAGAGATGCACACAATCTTCATGATTTCCCATATGGAAACTGTTATAAAAATTGTGCATATTTTCAGCAGAATTTTCCAGGCCCAGCTCACAAAGACTGGCCAAGTGCACGCTTCTCAGGTAACACGATATTATTATCTCTTTATACAGCTTGGACCATCTCTACTCTTTTCTCCTCATCCAGGGACTCAGTCCCGCATTTCTTCTTAAGTAGTGACCTTTAGAAAACGCCAGTTAAGGGTGGATTGCCAAAAACTGCTTGGAAACACCTCCACCCCTCCCCCAAACAAAAACCAGTAAAGACAAGAGAGGGAGACCCTTATTGTAATTTGAGATGATGTCCCCTTTTTCATTTTGCCTTTCAGACATCACACAGTACGCCATGATACCCCATGTCCAGCTTGTCCCAACCTTGTGCATGATTTCTTAGTGCCTTTAAATGCTGTGCATTAGCATGCTCAAGACCCTGGGTTTATTCTCCATGCTAGAATCTGGGCCTGGCCATATAATTAGGACCACTGCAATGTACTTGTAGATTAAAGTAGATAAAGTTAAATTGAGTGTCATCCAGGTAATTATGCAGTACTCCTCCGAGAACTGAAGAGGGTCTGCAAAGCAGAATATCAGAGCTGAGGCTTCTCTGCAGAGGGTCTATCTCACATTGGTGCTTCACTTCAGCTTCTCTGGCTGGAAACCTATCCCCAGAACTCAGCAAATCCTCAGTGAGCACCCCTTCAGTGCCAGGATCTCTGGTTCCTTTCAGTGTTTTTTTTTTTAAATCATTTTATCTCTCTAGCTTCTATGATTTGCTTCCAATATCAGCCCCCAAATTAATTTCACTCCTGAATTGAGAACTTGAGTGTTTTCAAACTAGGTGATTTTCCTTATAACCACTTTAATTTTATCAAACATTTTTATGGTAATATTCACTCATTTAGCCACTAAGTGAAAGAAGCTAGACTCAAAGGGTTGCATATGGTATAATACCCTTTATATGAGATCTCCAGAGTAGAGAAATCTATGGAGGCAGAAAGCTGATTAGTGGTTGCCAGGAAACAAGGGGAGGAATAAATGGGAAGAGACTGCTCAGCGAGAACAGCATTGTTTTTTGGGGTGATAAAAATGTTCTGGTGATAGATAGTGATAGAAGACAACATTGCGACTCTGATAAACACCACTGAATTTTACGCAACAAAATGTTTGTTATTAACTTAAATTCAATCCAAATATAAAAATTAGTTCATATGGGCTAACAAAAATGAAGCGATTTCTAAAAAGTGACAAACAAAGAGCATGTACATAGAGAAAGCATGCTGAAGTGGTTAAAAGCTTAGGTCTCTATGTTAGTCACAGGCTCTGTCATTCCCTCCAGGGCTTGAGCAAGAGTATATAACCACTTTAGACCTTCTCTGTAAAGTACCAATAATACCTCCCTCTCAAGGTTGTTCTGGGACTTATTGAGAAGTTAAATATAAAATACTTAGCACAGAGCTTGGTACAGTACTTAGGATGCATCCAATAAATAATAGATGCCACTGTAGAATATATAGCACAGAAATTTGCAGGCTGGAGAAGAGGTAGCTCCCTGTTAAGGACAAGTCAGCAAGGCAAAGGCACTGAGCAGGAAAAGGGGACTGTGTGCATGGAAGTGAGGGGCATGGTAGGATTCCAACTATTAATGTTTATAGATATAAATTGGGATTCACCCATACTAAGAAACAAGAGGTGTAATGTAGGGCACATCCCTGTTGAATTGGGTATGTCACTCAGCATCAGCTTCTCTATATGAGAAGGAAAAACAGCCCTCCCTGACCTGGAGAAGTTGTAGAATGTAGGTAAAGCAGAGCCCAGGTGAGCATGGCTCTGCGCAGAGTAGAACCAGTGACATTATCCTGACAGCCTACCGTGACTTGCAGCTAAATTTCAAGCCAGAGGAGGATGTGTGCTTAGAAACAAGCCCAGAATAAGGCACAGGAGTCTGCCTGCTCCAGACGCTTATCATGTTAACCATCTGTGATGTGGGGATAGCAATGCTTAGGAATTATTGAGCAGCAGATGTCCACCATGCTGCTCTGCGTTAACAAGAACAAGAAAGGAAAATAGCTCTTCTACCAAGATCCCTAACTCCACTAACTATTCAGTACAAAGTATGTACTAAGAGAATAACAATAGTTAATACTCTGTGTATCATTATCTTCAAAGTAGTTACTCAGAGTACAAGACATAAACCAAAAAGATGCTCACAAAAAGAAACAAACAGGTAATAAATAATACAAAACTTTCTTTCAACATTCTAAAATAAACTAGTGGTAGAATCATGATGGCTTTTCTTTAAGAAAATGATAAGCATACGTTTCAGTCACGCACTCCATAATGACGTTTCCACCAGGGATGGGCTGTATTACTGTGGCTCCCTAAGACCATGTTGATTAATGGAGGCATAGCTAGTTTAGTTTATGTAAGTACAAGTTATGATGTTCACACAACTACGAAATTATCTAACAAGTCATTTCTCAGACTGTATCCCTCCAGGCAAGCAACATGTGACCATATTTGAAAAAGAATCTCACACATCCAGAGAAATGCATCATTTGTCACTTTACCACTTGAATTTGTATATGTAAAGATTGTCTTTGGCAGATGAAGCAGAGCTATATGAACTTTATCTGAGGAATTCTTTTCCCTTTGCAGCAAGAAGCCAAAACCACATCAAAGCACACCTCCCCATCAGAAGCCTCTAACCTTAGCCTACGATGGAGACTTAGACATGTAACCTGAAAAAGAAATCCAAATGTAGACATCAACTGCCTTAACCACTTTCTCTTTTGTAGCTCTCAGACTTCTCAGTTTTTTGAGGAATCTCATGATGTGATATATTGGGCAGAATACAGATATTGCAAAAGTAATATTGCCTCAACTTCATTTGGACATGGAGTCAAGGATTATTAGGTCTGCCGTTTGTTTTTGAGTTGTTGTGGGTATGAGTATTTTACTTTTTGGTTTTCCCAAGAGACATGAAAATGCTTCTCTTCCTGTTTGGAAATGGGAAGAGCAAAACCTGATGAAATTCTCACAGACTGGAGTAAACTTCATCTTCAGCAGCATAATGACAATCCGGAGGAGAGTTCAGTCGTGACATTCACTGTAAATGACAAGTCTGACACCGCAGTGTTACGCACTATATTAGTGCAAAGTCTTTATTCTTCCCATACTTCAACATGAGTTTTCTAGAGTTTACATTGGTTCAAGGAGTTTCAAATTGGATTGCCTGTTTTCATGATCACAGAGAGAATGGGCTGCCATTTCAGAAATTCTCTGAGTTTTTACCTTTAAATATTGTATTTTGTTTTGTAGCCAGGGGATGGTGGCACTCCACGGGTTGCATCTATTGAAAATAATAGAGTGTGAGCAGTGTCGGAACTAGATGAAAGCTAGGTGGTTTCTGAATGAAATGTGTACTGAATGTCAGCGTGTACAAATGAAAGGTGGTGGCTATACTGGAGAGTGAGGTAGATTATTTGAGTACTATGACTGTATTTTAACAGAAACTAGCTGTGTAGATAAGGCATCAACCACACACAGTTGTAATTCAGTTTGATGATGATAAATTCTGCTTTTGTAATTTGAATTTTCTTATCTGAATATTTATAAATTCTTTTTTTGAATTTAATTATCTGACCTCATTTAATATACATTGAACACCAATGCTGTTTGTAGAAAGTCTTGCTTTTATAAGGTTTCAATAATATGTAAAACAGCACATTAAAAATCTGAAACCATTTTATGAAGATAATTGTTTGTAATCATAGATGTTGAAAGTCAGAAGGTGCCATCTCGTGGTATTGACCTGTATTTATAACAAATAAAGTGCTCCAGAGACTGAAATGTTGGGTGTTTGACATTTATTTCCTGCTGAGGTGCCTTTACTTTGACAAAAGTTTTAATATTAGTTTTCCTATGTTGTCCTTTCAGGAGTTCACAGATTATATCACTAAGAGTCCAAAAGGATCTCACCCCAGATCTTCACCAGTATGAGGTGTACTGTGATAACAGAGGCAATCACAAAGACAGACGGTAGCTTTTCAGGAATATTTACACTTCATGTAATGCTAGAACAAACAGCTGGGGTAATGCCTACACTGATATGTAAATGAGAGAACTGAGAAAATGGAAAAATTTTAAAAAAAGAAAAATGAGATACAAAGAGCAAGATACAGGATGTTTTCATTTATACCTTGACTGCTGTCAACTATTTTACAGTCAGACGAGCCCTTTGGTTAACAGATTTTTGTCCAATGACATTGTGCTATTAAAGAAAAAAATTAATGAAAGAAGATAGCTTATTTTAGCAATGTGATTGAAGCAACAACTCCCAGAATAGTACTTTTATCAATTCACTTTAGGCAAAGAGTTAGTAGTCTCCAAAGCAGTTAAAGAGAGCTTGATTGAGACCTCAAACCCTGGCTATGCTCCTCAACGTCCTTGTGACACTAGACATGAAACATAAATTATCTGTACCTCAATGGTCTGACCTATACAACAAAGACAGTAAAATTGATTTCTTTTTAAAATAAACATTAGTAATAAATGTAAACTACATAATATTCAATGCATATCTAAAGAAATATTATTTGCAAGCAGTATTTTATGGCATAATCAGAAATGAGACCCCTTAGGTTATTCTATTTTGTCATTCATTATAGATTCAACTATAACTCATACATATGGAAGTTGTGATAAAATATTAGATTTTCATTTATTCATGACTATGAATAAGTTGTTTCACCAGTAGGACGAATTTGCTCAAAATATGTTTATTTTAGTTGTACCCATTTTTCAAATATCATAAAATAGATTTTGTTCATTCACTTAACAATATATATTTATTAAATATCTACCATATATTGGTGTTGAATCAATGAAATATGAGCCCTTATAACTTATTTTATTTGAAAATTATGCCACATAGATCCAAAGATTTAGGAATTTCACACCCCTAGAGAAAATTCAACTGAAGATTGTGAACTGAAAATTAAAATTCATAAGATGATACAATTTTGAATGTTTATACACAAAATATGTGAATGTGTTTTCTTAGGAGAGCATATTGCTTCTAAAGTAAAAAACAATTTTGAGATTTAAAATTCTTAGATGCATAGAGTAATATTCGGAAGTGAACGGTATTGCTAACTAGCTACTGACTTTAGATATCTCCATCACCTTTCATACTGCACTGTGTATAAGAGACTCAAATAAAAACACCAACTGGTCTTACTCTTGAATATATACAGCAGAATTCCCAAATAACTAGTTGCAGAAATACTCAGTTTGGTGTGCAAAGGATTTTATTTTATTTTATTTTATTTTTATTTTTTTGGTTTTTCTCCGGTACCGGGAACCGAACTCACGACCTTGCGCTTGCCAGGCAGGCGCTTTTGCCGCTGAGCTAAATCCCCAGCCCACAAAGGATTTTATATCTTTGAATTAAATTTAAAAATTTAGAGATTTCACATAACGTTTTCAAATTTTAGCTTCTCTTGAAAACCTGGAATATCTGGTTAAAAACAATAATAATAATAAAAAAACCCACTTCCATCTTTTATGATAAAATTTGTTGCAACTAAAGGCTGGGTGCATTTTTAGAAACAACATCACTGTCATTTATTTAATAAATATTAAATATCTGCCTAGTTCCACACACTACTCTAAATGCTAAGCATAGGCTGGAAATGAGAAAAGAGACCAACTTGCTGCTCTAGTGGCATTTTTGTACTGTACTCAGAAATAAAAACCAAAGACTTCCAGTAAATGCACAAATAAAACATAGTCACATGGTGGTAAACATCAAAACTATACAGGACTATGGAAATAAGAGTAATTAGAGCATGTCATGCTACTTTGGATGAAGTGGTTGGTAAGGTCATTTAAGAAGATGTTTGGTTTGGTGACATGGACATATAATTTGAGAACAAGATGAAGAAAATTTTCCGTAATCTGGAGTAGAAAGTTCAGGTAGAAGAGCTAGCTATGATAAAGCCCCAAAGGCAGCATAAGCTTGGTGCTGATTATTGACAGCACAAAGAAGTGAGCAAGGAATGGTGTGAAATTTAAAAGGGTGATGTGAAATATCCTCAAATCCACCTGCTTCTTGAGGCATCCTCCAGTGAACATTTAACACTGCAGCCAAAGAGTTACACATTATGGGTCCTGGGCCAAATCAGTCCAGTACCTGATCTTGCAAACACAGTTTTACTAAAGCACACTCAAGCCCATTCATTGCAAAGCCTAAAATATTATCAGCCCTTCATAGAAAAAATTGCTGAACCTTTTTGTGCTAGAATAATCAATCCCCATGTTAAAACTGTGCAACCTTTTCTTTCTTCAGTAGCCTGAACATTTCTAATATTCTGTTTACCATACTTATTTGTACTTTCTTTTTACATTAACATGTTAACACCATGCTGACAAGGGTCCTTGTGTTATTCACTTATGTATACCTAATGTTTGGAATATGGCAGGCACTCAATATTTACAGAATGATAAAGGTTAGACAAATAAGTAGTATATAGTATACTGGCATGAAAGCCAAGGTGAGGAACTTGTACTTTATTCTAAATGGAATGGACAGCTTCTGGAATGTTTTAAACAGTGCAGTGACATGGCATCATCTAGGTTACAGTCTCATGACTTTCTATTCTCCTTACCCTGAACTGACCAGGTCCACAACACTCTTTCTATTCTCCTTACCCTGAATTGACCAGGTCCACAACACTCTTTCTGCCTGTGCTGCAGCAAATACTCCATAAATGAGATATTATTATGTTAATGGAATCTCAAAAGACTGATGTTCAATGACTCTGCCATAGAAGCTTTCCCTGAATGTGTAGATCTGAGGGCTATATAGAGTTAGTGGCAACCCTACATAGTTTTTCTAGCAACATGAAACTCATTGTTTCAGTAAAAATATGAAGCTTAATGATTTGGAGATGGAATTAATTTATGGGAATACTTTAGGCTTTGTGTGTTACATTTTATTTAGTTGCTTTCCTGTCATTGAAACAAAATATTCAACACTTACAAATTGTTTTCTTTATTTTAAAGAGAATAAAAAATAAAAAAAAGCAAAAACGATACAGAATTTCAAAACAAGATGATGGAAAATCAACAATAGCTGTGATATTGCACATTGTTATTTTCAAAGTAGTTGTCCATACCAGACATAAGCATGCAAAATTGGTAAAAAAAAAAATTCCTTTCAATAAACTAATAGGAACCAGTAGCAGTTTATCTTTAGCTATATTGTGTGTGTGTGTGTGTTTGTGTGTGTATTTCTTTTTTCCTTACATCCTTTTTTCTTCTCTCCTTTCCCTCATCCCAGTTGTCCCTTCCTTTTGAGTAGTTTCTTTCCCTTTCACAGTATGTATTGTACCTTCTGGGTTTTATTTACTCTTTCAGCTTCTTACACTAGGGAGACAATATGATGTTTACACATTCGGGTCTGATTTATTTCACTTATGAGTATGCTCTCTAGTTGCAGCCATTTACCTATAAAAATCTCAAGTTTATCTTTCTTTATAGCTGAGTAATACTCCATTGTATAAAAATACCACATCTTTTTATACATTCCTCAGTTGATGGGCATTTGAGTTGTTTCCAAGATTTAGCTATGTCGGGGTCTGGGGATTTAGCTCAGCGGCAAAAGCTCCTGCCTGGCAAGCTCAAGGTCGTGAGTTCGGTTCCCGGTACCAGAGAAAAACCAAAAAAACAAACAAACAAACCAAGATTTAGCTATGTCAAATTGTGCTGGTATAAACATGGATACACATATATTGCTGTGGTATAATGTTTTCAGTTCTGGAAAAATATGCAGAAGGAAAATAGCTGGGTCAAATGGGACCTCTAATCCTAGTTCGAATTGGGGAAATATTTTTTTTCAAAAATAATTTCCCAAAAATACTGTCCCTCAGACAAAGGACTTCTACCTAGAACATATACAGAATTTTAAAAAATCATGCCCCCCAAATTTAAAGACCAAATGAAAAATGGGAATCTGAGATGAATACACACTTCTCAGATGAACAAATATGAACAGCAAATAAATATGGGAAAAAATGTTCAACATCATTGGTTATTCAAGAAATGCAAATTAAAACAACTGAGAGTCCATCTCACCCCAGAAGGAATGGCTGTCATCAAGAATCAACCAATAACAAATGCTGGAAAAGATGTGGGGCAAAAGCAAACCTTCTCCACTATTGGTGGGAGTGCAGACTGGTGCAGCCACCGTGAAAATCAGTGGAGACTCCTCCAAATCACTTACACATTAAAGGAGAAGAGTTTTAGTTTGGCTCATGGTTCAGTCCATAGTTGAGCGGCTCGAAGGCACTTGGTATCATGCAATGCATGGCAAAGGAAAGCTGCTAGACCAGTGGCAGGCAGGAACCAGGGAGAGGGGAGAAGCCTGCAATGAGAGTATTTCCTTTCAGGTCCGTGACCATATCTTCTGACCAGGCTGCACCTTCAAACAGCACAATCAGCTGTGAACCATTTGTGAGTTAATCCATTGATGAGCATTGGCCCCCTACAAGTCACCTCTGAATACATGAAATTTGGGGAGTGATTTATATCTAAACTATTTATACATCTGATACAGTGCTTATATGTTTTCTTCTGAAAATTTGGCATAAAGATGTTAGTATAGCTAATATACAATAAAATTCAACTTACCAGCTCATCTCTGGAATGAACAGTTGCACCACATGTTACAGCTGTGCTAAAACATGATTTCTCTCCAGCAGGGCAGTGGTCAGTCTTACAGGGATGAACTCATTCATTTACCCCATCATGCTACAGAATTATTTTCATTTTCTATGGATCCCATAGGA